CGTCCTTGCCGCCCTCCGCGGTGGCACTGGCAGCGCCCTCGGCCTCACCGCCCTCTCCCGCCTCCTTCTTGTTCTTCTTGAAGGAGAAGCCACTCAGCTTGAAAGACTTCTTGAAGGAAAAGCGCTTCTTTTTTTTTTTCGGGGTCTCGTTGCTGGGCGAGGGTGTGGCCCCGTCCTCGGCCTTGGGCGAAGACGTCGAGGAGGCGGCCGAGGCAGCCTCCCCCTCGGCGGCCGTGGGCGAGCCTGGCTCCGCGACCTCGCCTTCGGCGGCGGCCTCCTTCTCCACAGGGCCGGCCCCAGGCTCGGGGGCGGCGGCGGCGGCGGCGGCGGGCTCATCTTTCTCGGCCGAGGCAGGGGACGCAGCCCCGCTCCCTGCGGCCGCGGGCTCCTCCTTGTCGGCGGCGGGAGCGCTGCCATTGGCCTGCAGCTCCTCCTTGGCGCCCGGCTCGGCGGCCGCGGGCGAAGCGTCCCCGTTTACTTTCACGTGGCCATTCTCCTGCGGGGCAGAGAAAGTGGGAGCGTCACAGATGCGGCCCGGGCAAACCGCTGTTCCTTTCCCCACCCCAGGGGCCGGAGAGACCAGATTCCCTAAGGCATCTCAGGGTCCAGAATCCCTCGGTCCCGCAGTTATGGGGAGGAAGGGTTGGGGCCGAGCCAAGAGCCCCATGGATGAACAAATGGGGCAGCGACGTTTGGGAAGCCCAAAAGGCACAGCAAGAGCCTCCACATCCAGTAGATGTCCTAAGGACCGAACCCGAAATGTGGAAGGCAATGGATAACTCTTCCAGCCCTTCCCTCACGGGCTTTGGAAAAGGAGCCAGTAATTCTGGATACAGCAAATGCCCTTTGAAAGAAGGCACACAGCCCTAGCTGGTGGTCTGTGCCTAGGTCACACATCCGCTTTTCTCCCTAAACCCTAGAGGCCTCGTCAAAACACTGAGAATACCCCGGGGGATCACAGCACTCCAGCCAGGAGCGCCCGCCCGCTCTGCGCACTTAAGGCACTGCATGCGCCCTTGGCCTTGAGACCGGTAGAGGGCGCTGCGCTTCCATCTCGCAGAGCTGGCGCAGGCGAGCGAAGAGGGGCGGGGCCGCCTGGCCACCCCGCCCTGCCCAGCCGGGCCCTGCCCGCAGGCCAAGGCGCCCCCGAGCTGGGATCGTGCTACCCGAAGAGTCCGCAAACAAAGCTCAGGTGGCTTCCCAGCCTCTGGGTCGGGTTCAAACCTACAAGGATGGGGAAAACCCATTATTTCTGAGGTCTCGCTTGTGCTTTCACAACCACCTTCGCCCCTGACTCGGCAAAGCGGGGCAGTTCATTTTGCATTTTTAACGGGTTTTGAAGCAACTGGCAGAGTCTGTCTTACTCCAGTAGATTAGCCCAGGCGAAGCAACACGGTCTCCGCTCTAGGAAAAGAGGCGTGGTGGGTGCCCAGTGTTTGTGAAGCAGCCACCCATGGCCGACCTCTCGCGCCCACCCAACCGTGGCTAGCTGCTTGGGTTCGGGCAGCGCTGGGGCGGCCCCTCGCGGGTGGCCGAAGCGCCACGCACACGAACAACCCTAACCGAAACGCAAAAACCATCTGGAGAGCTTCTCAAAAGATCCGCCGAAGGTTCCCACCCCAGGGATTGCCTTTAGAAGTCAAATGGGTGTGTAATTCCACAGACAGCTACAAATAAGATTCAGACAGTGGGAAAGCCCCACCGAAATATACCGAAAGCCTTCTGTCCAGTTCAGCCAGCCACCTTTCCTAGAACACAGGGCACACCGCCTCGACATACAATTAGACAGCCCTTGCCTTTTTGCCTTCTCCCAACGCCATCCCCATTTACGTTTCCCCCCTTCTCTCTTTCTCTCTCTCTCTCTCTCTCTCTCTCTCTCTC